TTTAAAAAGAGAGTCTTGGTTTCATCCATCGGATGTCCTTGGATCGTCCTCGCCTAATTAAAGCTCTTATTCTGCGCCAGGTTTTGGGTTCGGTGGCGCTGACGGCCCTGTGCGCCAGTAGCAGCGGAGAAGACGGCTGCGCCTACGCGGAACAAGAAGAGATAAACGTCCTACTTCAGGCTCTGCAGTCGCCCTGCATGAACGTTCGAGATGCAGCTCTCCGGGTCAGTGGGACGTTCGGGGACAGGACCTGAACGTTTTGTCTGTCCCTCGGATCAAAATTCTGTTTTGTTACCCTGAGTGGTGGCCCTTGGCCTTTTGAACCACTGGCCTGAGATGGAGTGTCAGCCTTGGAAGCTTCGAGGCTGCCACGTTCAGTGCCTGGGAATTTGGGAGGGGGGATTTCATAGAGAGGTAGAAGATTAGACACAACATTCTTTTCTTTTCTCATCGGAGAGTCCCGGGTTTCCCCTTTCCCAATTGAAAATTCAAAACCCATCCCTTGCCCCCACCAGTCCATCACATGGCCCAATCAACCATCGTTCCAACTGAGACATCCTTCCAGGCAGTCCTCTCCAGGTGCAGGGCAACATGTTCTTGACTCTCTGAGAAAAGAATGCTGTTATGTCTAATCTTCCACCTCTCTATGAAATCCCCCCCCCCCCCTCCCCCCCAGGCATGACATTCTTCCGATTAAAATCGCAATTCCGATTTTTTTGGGAATCGCCCCCTCCTTTCCCCCCACCCCTTCTTCTCCTCCTCCCCCTCCCCTCGGAGGCCCCGAGTCAGGAGTAGCTGGCGCGGCTCCAGTCCCGTGTTGCCTCAGGAAGGGAAAGGCAAAAAGGAAGAGCCGCGGCCGCGCTTTGCAACGGCAGCAGCGGCTCCTGGTTTTGCCTTTCCCTTCCTGAGGCAACGCGGGACTGGAGCCACGTGGAGCTGCGCCGGCGGTAGCAACTCCTGACAGCCCCAGCTGGATACCTGAGCGGAGCCTGGGCGGTGCGAGTGGAGGCTGCTGAGCGGCAGGAAAAGGGAGCTGGGCCAGCCACAGACCAGCCTCCGTGCAACACGCCGCCGCCCGGCCCCGGCAAGGGAAAGCAGCGGGCGCTCCCCGGGCGCACGGCGGGGGGTCTCTTTTGGCCGGCCCCGATTTTTTTTCCAGAGCGGAATATCATGCCTGGTTCTGACCCAAAGCTTGTTCCAAGGAAACAAACATGAAACAGAAGTAACAGCAAAACCTTTTAATTATTCTTTACGAATTCTGCTTCCTTCCCGCTTAAAAGGCTGTTTCATACTAATTGATAAGCACGAAGCCTTGCCAATGTTGTGCAAGGCTGCCAAGAATACCAGATAAAGTTACTAAGAAATATTTCAAACACAAAGAGTCTCCAAACACCAACCAAGATAACTCCGAATGTCCACAAGGCTTGAATGCAAGAACTTTGGTTTCTCAGTTGGCTTTTATCTCTTAAGGGAGAGGCCATTACCTTGCAGCCTTACTCCTGAGTAGCCTGTGCTGCTGTAGCTGCTCTTTCCTCCGAGCAGCCCTGCGTGCATACACACTGGGCACAGGCTCCTCGGGATACTCTTCATCACTGCTGCCAGCCTCTACAATCTCCGAAGGCAGCTGTGATGACCCAGGGTGGGATACAAAACAAACACAGTCACAGAAAACAGGTGAAGCCCCTTTTATTCCTTCACTTTGCTTCCAAGCTCCGAATATCTTTGACGGAAGACAAAAAAAAACTCCCACACAAACAGTTACACAGCTCCAGTTCAGGAGAATTTTGCTCATCACTGTTTTTTATTCTTGGCTTCAGGGTTTGCTGGAACTCCAGATGGTTTTGCCCACTCCGGACAGCGATGAGAAGAACGGGATGAACCTTTTGCGCCGTCTCTGGGTGGTGAAGTTTGACAGAGAAGAAGAAATCCGCATGTTGGCAGAGAGGTAGGCATGCCAGTACTTTGAAGGAGGAAACTATAACCTCACAGTCCTAGACGTTCCCCATCTTTCAGACCAAAAATAAAGCCCTCCTGGGCTAAAAATCTCTGGAGGATTTTTGTCCATCTCTTCCTCCAACATCGTCTTACTGGAAACGAAGACTGGAAACAATCCAGATCCCCCAGCAAGAGAACTGGAATTTTACAGCCTCAATGTTTTATTCCAATCAGAATAAAGGTGGAAGGGACCTTGGAGGTCTTCTAGTCCAACCCCCTTGGCTCAAGCAGGAGAACCTATGCCATTTGGCTGTGCGGTCTCTTCTTAAAACCTCCGGTGTTGGAGCACCCACAACTTCTGAAGGCAACTTCTGCTCCACCGGTTAATTGTCCTCCCTGTTGTTAATTGTCCACCCCTGTTGGGATTCCAGGTTGCTTCTCTCCTTGATTATTTTCCATACCTGGTTTCTTGTCCTGCCCCTCAGGTGCTTTGGAGAATAATTTGACCTTCTGTCCCAAAGGTGCTTTTTCAAGAGGCAACTTCCTGGACCAGAAGTCCAGTTGCCTCTTGAAAAAGCATCTTTGCGACAACCTTGACCTGGATGACTGAGAATCTCCATAGATAGTGGGGGCCCCTCCTCTTTGTGGTAGCCCCTCAAACACTGGAATTCTGCTATCATGTCCCCCTCCCCAATCCTCCTTTTCTCTAGACTAGCCAAATTCAATTCCTGCCACCGTTTTCCATATGTTTTTAGCCTCCAGGCCTTTAATCCTCCTAATTGCTCTTCTCTGCCCTTTTTCCAAAGTCTCAACATCCCTTTTTTTTGGTAATGTGGCGACCAAAACTGGATGCAGCACTCCAGACGTGGCTTTACTAAGGCCTTATAAAGCAGTCCTTTATAAATGCATGTCTTACTTATCTGACGTGTGCATCTCCGATCTGCAGTGGGCGTTTATGGGGAGGAAGGGTAGAGACTGAGCCACTCCAGTCTTTTTTCACCGGAGAGATCTTTCTGGAAGATGACGAAACTCCAGTCTTCCTTTTTCTCCTAGGCTGTGGGTATCTATGGCTTTAGAGCTGCAACCGGACATCTGCTCCATCCTCATCCAAGATGTCATCCACCATGAGCAGGCGGTGCGCCAGGCCGGAGCAGAAGCCCTTTCCAAAGGGGTGGAACAATATCGAAGCCAGACGAAGGATGTCATGGCCAAACTGATGGAGATTTACCAAGAGAAGCTCTATGTAAGCCCCTGGTGGATGGAAGCAGGAGCCTGGTCGATCATGAGTCCATACGTTACCGATAGAATATCTGTAGCTCTCTGGACTGATCATCGAGGCTCTCTGAGCTTGGTGGTTTCCTTGCGGATGTTTGATTACCCAACTAGGTAACCTCATCAGTGCCAGAAGGGAATGGGGACTGCAGACGGAAGGAAGGGAGGAGAAGGAGGTGGTGGAGGACAATGGCTTTGGGGTCCTCGGGGTCCTCTGAGCTTAGTGGTTTTCTGGCAGACATTTCATTACCCAACTAGCTAACGTCAGTGCCAGAAGGGAATGGGGACTGCAGATGAAAGGAAGGAAGGAAGGAAGGAAGGAAGGAAGGAAGGAATGAAGGAAGGAAAGGAAGGAAAGGAAGGAAGGAAGGAAGGAAGGAAGGAAGGAAGGAAGGAAGGAGAAGGAAGAGGAGAATGACTGTGGAGTCCTTGGTGTGAGCTTGGTGGATTTCTTGCAGATGTTTCATTACCCAACTAGCTAACATCAGTGCCAGAAGGGAATGGGGACTGCAGATGAAAGGAAGGAAGGAATGAAAGGAAAGGAAAGGAAAGGAAAGGAAAGGAAGGAAGGAAGGAAGGAAGGAAGGAAGGAAGGAAAGAGAAGGAAGAGGAGAATGACTGTGGAGTCCTTGGTGTGAGCTTGGTGGATTTCTTGCAGATGTTTCATTACCCAACTAGCTAACATCAGTGCTAGAAGGGAATGGGGACTGCAGATGAAAGGAAGGAAGGAATGAAAGGGGAGGAAGGGGGGAAAGAGGAGAAGGAGGAAAAGGACTGTGGGGTCTTTGGTGCTCTCTGAGCTTGGCAGTTTCCTTGCAGATGTTTACCAACTAGGTCACCTCATCAGTGCTAGAAGGGAATGGGGATTGCAGACGGAAGGAAGGGAGGGAGGAAAGGAAGGATGGAAGGAAGGGAGGGAGGAAAGAAGGAAGGAGGAGGAGGAAAAGGACTGTAGGGTCCTTGGTGCTCTCTGAGCTTAATGGTTTCCTGGCAGATATTTCATTATCCAACTAGCTAACATCATCAGTGCTAGGAAGGAGGGGGGTATGTTCTCTGTTTATATACAAGGCTTACCCTGTCAGTGTTATTGGGAGTATTCCTGACTGTTCCTAGCCGTAAACAACAGCCTAATCAAGGAATCCCTTAGGGACATTCCCACTGAAAAATTACAGCATCTGAAACATTTACAAGGGTTGTCATCCAGTGCTTTTCATTCTTCCCCAGAGACCCCCACCGGTTCTGGATGCCTTGGGACGGGTGATCTTGGAGTCTCCACCTGACCAGTGGGAAGCCAGGTAGGACTACTACTTAATCCTTCTGACCCTTTCTCAAAAAACAATGAACTTCTGGGTTGTTGTTTTTTCCCAAGGCAAGGTAGTAAGAAACTAAGGATAAGTATCTCCGGATGTTTTAATTCAACTCTTGCAATTCTTTACCAAGGGCCTGCTAGTTGGGCTTTGAGGGAGAATAAAAGTCCGTACGACTGAAGGTCCCTACACTGGCAAAAATAGTGCTAGCACTTACACTTATATACTGTTTCATACAGTCCTGTCTAAATGGTTTGCAGAGTCAGCCTCTTGCCCCCAACCATCTGGGCCCACGTTTTTATCAACCTCGGAAGGATGGAAGGCTGAGTCAACCTTGAGCCAGTCAGGATCGAACTGCTGACAGTGGGCAGGGTTATTGCATTCTAACCACTGCACAGGAAGGAAAGGGAAAGGGAAGAAGGAAAGGAAAGAAGGAAGGAAGGAAGGAAGGAAGGAAGGAAGGAAGGAAGGAAGGAAGGAAGGAAGGAAGGAAGGAAGGAAGGAAGGAAGGAAAATAGCATTAGCACATACTCTTATATACTGCTTCTATAGTGCTTTCCTGCTTTCCAGCCCTCTCTAAGCGGTATACAGAGTCAGCCTATTGGCCCCCAACAATCTGGGTCCCCATTTTACCCACCTCGGAAGGATGGAAGGCTGAGTCAACCTTGAGCTGGTCAGGATCGAACTCCTGGCAGTGGGCAGAATTAGCCGGCAATCCTGCATTCTAAACCACTGCACCACCACAACTCTCATCAATAACCCTTACATTTCATGATGACCGCTAAAAAGAAGAAATTCTCTCTTCAGGTGCGGCATCGCTTTGGCCTTGAATAAGCTTTCTCAGCACCTGGAAAGCTCCCAGGTGAAGCCTCTTTTCGAATTCTTTGTCCCCGATGCCCTCAACGATCGTCACCCCGAAGTCCGAAAGTGCATGCTGGACGCTGCCCTCTCAGCCCTTAATACTCACGGCAAGGTAGGTTGACATTCGTCAGAAATCTTACATCTGTGGAGCTCAGAACTGTTTGATGGTACAGGGAAGGTACCGTTAACATTTGAGTGAAATTTGGGTGTAGCCAACAAGAGCCAGGAGAGCCTGGGGCTTAGAGGTTAACACATCTACCAAATATGTTAGTAGCTCGGGTTCGAATCCCACAAGGGTAGGGCTAGCTGACGAGAGAGAGCTAAATAGCTTGACATTAGACCTATACTAATTCTCCCTTTATTTCTTTGTCGGTAAAATATAAACTTTAACATTTAAGTGAAACGTTTGGGAGTCTTCTCAGAGAAGCAGCCAAAGTCTGGACAATTGGATCTTTTGTTCAATTAAATCAGAGGTCTCCAAAACTTGGCAACTTTTAAGGCTGGTGGACTTCAGCTCCCAGAATTCCCCAGCCAGCCATGTCTATTTTTTTCTCTCTCTCTTAATCTCCTAAAGCGGAGAGAGATTGCAGAGGAAGGGATTACGAGAGAGTCAGTTATGCTGGCTGGACAATCCTGGGAGTTGAAGTCCAACAAGTCTTAAAGTGGCCGAGTTTGGGGACTCCTGAATTCAATCCAGTTATGGGGTCCTTGGTGGTCTCTGGGTTTGGTGTTGTTGCTGACGTTACCTTACTGACGCACTGAGGATGTTACCTAGTTTGGTAAGGAATGACTTGGGAGTCCAAAGTTTACATTTTTCAGCTCTCCTCTGTTTTCCATGGTCGCCCAACTTCCTTTGGCTCCTATTTTTTTTTTTTTTTTTCAGGAGAACGTCAACTGCTTGCTGCCGGTCTTTGAGGAGTTCCTTAAGAACGCCCCCAACGATGCCAGCTACGATGCCGTCCGGCAGAGCGTGGTCATTCTCATGGGGTCGCTGGCCAAACATTTGGACAAAAGCGATCCGAAAGTAAAACCCATCGTGGCCAAGCTGATAGCAGCACTCTCTACGCCATCCCAACAGGTGAGCCCCTCCTTGGCTCGGAGATGGGGGCATCCTCAATTTAGAACCATCTTACTAACACAAAGCAAGGGAGCTACGTGGCTTAAGAATTCACAAATGTTTTCTCCCTCCTTCCATCCATCCATCCATCCCTCCCTCCGTCTCTCTCTCCTCCTCTTGGAGAAATATTACATTGTCAAAACATTCACCTAAACCTGGCACCATCTGAATTAGTTTTAGACAAAGAAATAAATTTCACATGAAAAAAATAAGAAACTCTCTGTCTCTCTCCCTCCCTCCCTCTCTCTCTCCCTCCCTCCCTCCCTCTTTCCCTGTCCTCCCCTTTCCCTGCCCTCCCCACACCCTTACCCTTCACTGCCCTTTCCTCCCCTCCCTCCCTCAAATCAACTGCTTTGAATCGTGCTTAAACCTGAATGGTTTTGGTTATCTGCGTAGGTCCAGCATTCTGGTCCTTTTTTTATCCTTTTCAGCCATTGCTGTCTCCCCGTATGTTCATCCTCCTCTTCTTTTATTTTATGTTGTATCGATGCTCCTTGTCCCCACCTTGCTCAGGCCAAGTCAGACGGTTTAGCGATAGAGAAGGCTTTAGGGTAAAAACTCTGGCTTGCTTTTGATGTCACCTTTCCTCTCAAAGTTGGAGTGCATTTTGGGGAGGACTGGGGAGCCTGGAATTCCAGAAACCATGACGGAATTCCTTTTTTACAACCCTCGATCTGTGGTTCTTTTTCTCTTGGAACTAGAAGTCCTTCCCCCTCCTCTTTTTAAAGCAACTCCCCCCCCCCAAATGGATGTTCTCTCAAAGGAAAGAACAAAAATCGGCTCTCCATTCCAGAGCTAGCAGCCCATTTAGCAGCCCACCTAGAACGATCTGGTTGGGGGGGCTTTTGCAGGTCCAGGAGTCCGTGGCCAGCTGCTTACCGCCTCTCGTGCCGGCCATCAAGGAAGATGCCGGCAGCATGATCCAGAAGCTGCTACAACTTTTGCTGGAATCCGATAAGTACGCGGAGCGCAAAGGAGCTGCGTACGGGCTGGCCGGCCTGGTGAAAGGACTGGGAATCCTTTCCCTGAAGCAGCAGGAAATGATGACCAAGCTGACCGATGCAATCCAGGACAAGAAGAATTTCCGGCGTCGGGAAGGTGAGTCGGAGAATCCTCCTCCTTCCCCTCTCAACTTCTTAGGGACTTCTGGTCTTCCAGGTGAGGCTCCTAATCTACCTGGTAAGACGCAGAATCCTAGGGCTGGAAGAGACTTTAGGGTTCTTCTAGTCTAACCCCCCCTGCAAATTCGTATGCCACCCATGTCACCTAGATGATTAAAACTATTACAAAGTCCGGCTGGGCAGAGCAGGGGAGAGGTAGAACAAGGGAGAGGAAGTTCAGAGGAGGACCCAGGCCCAAACACCCTCTTCATCCTAAGTTACGCAGGGAGGAACGGAGAAGAGAGCAACGTGGGTTGCATGGCTCACGAGGGAGGAGAGGGCCCTGATTCCCTTCACACAAGGCACACTTGAGGGAGTTTAAAGGAGAGGCAGATGGGAGGGGCGGTTGTCTGGAACCAACGCTGACTTCACCTAGTGTTGGCTGCTGTTATCTTGAGTTCCTGGCATCCTTCCAACTGGTTTGATTTACTGCCGTGTTAACTTCACTTCTGGAACTCCTTCTCTTGTTCTGCCTTGCCTTGTTGGGTTTATAATTTGAAGTTTTCTGTTTACAACGTTTTGACCGAAGTATCTGCAGCCAAAGGCTGTTGCAGGTTTGTGGATGAGGTTTTTTTTCCAGACCGGAGAGTAACCAGAACGTTGGGAGCCAAGTTGGAACTAATAAAGGAACTCATCCTTATTCTCTGGCTGTGTGGCCTTGGGTCACGCACAGGCTTCTTGACTAAAGTGCTATTTAGGCAGCTGTTTCTGTTCTCTTCCCAGGGGCTTTGTTCGCCTTTGAGATGCTGTGTACCATGCTGGGGAAACTTTTTGAGCCCTATGTGGTCCACGTACTGCCCCACTTGTTGCTCTGCTTTGGAGATGGCAATCAGTACGTTCGGGAGGTAAGTCACCCTTGTCCTGGAGAAGTCGGGAGGTTGGGGTTCTGCAGCATCTTGGCTGGTTCTGCTCCGATTCTAGTTGGCTTCAGAGGTTCTGGTAGGTCATCGAGTGCTTTGATGGAGGAGTCGTGTGGTGGCCCCGAGGTGGAACTCACGCCTCACCATCAGCAGGCTGTGAGTTCGATCCTAGGTAGAGACACATATTTCTCTCTTAGGGCACATTGAGAATATATTTGTGGAACAGAACTCCTCACTGGCAACAGGAGCAGCATCCGGCCATTAAAATACTCCGCTAGCTCCATTCAGTTGCCCAGACTCCACCCCGCAAGGGATGATGGGGGTCATTAAAAGAAGATGATGATCGGATGCTTTGATGGACTTGGGAGTTCACCAGGCTGGATATACATCCAGCCATTGTAGTTCATAAACCATGTGTGAATCCAGCCAGCGGGGGCTAGTTCTGCAAGTAATCCAAAGACTAACATGTTACTGGAGTCCCGTCACAAGATGGCATTCCTATCAAAAGTCCTTGCACAAGTATATTATTCATGCATTGTGAAAATCCCACCATGGAAATAGATAGGCTGTGGACTGTGCTGTAACAAGAAGTGTGAATCCTGGCTGGACGTGATGTATAATTCCACAATAGATTCTGCTTCATGCTGGCCATTGAAGCTTGAAATTGATTGAGTCAAGTTTCGATTTTTGGGCTCCTTGGTGCTCTCTGAGCTTGGTTATTTTCTTGTAGATGTTTCATTACCCAACTAGGCAACATCATCAGTGTTTAGAAGAGAGAGAGAAAGAGCGGGGTGGTCCTTAATGCTGTTTGAGCTTGGTTCTTTTCTAGCAGACGTTTCATTACCCAACTAGGTAACATCATCAGTGTTTAGAAGGGAGGGAGGAAGAGGAGAGGTCCTTAGTGCTGTTTGAGCTTGGTTCTTTTCTTGCAGACGTTTCATTACCCAACTAGGTAACATCATCAGTGTTTAGAAGGGAATGGGGTTTGGGAATGGGGTTTGCCCTGTTAGGGTTAGTGGGAATGCTCTTGGTGTTTTCTTGATTAGGCTTTTGTTTCCCCTTAGCTTACTGTTGGATTTTGATTTTTTTTTTCCTCCATCTTTTTTTGCTCAAGGCTGCAGATGATTGTGCCAAAGCTGTGATGAGCAACTTAAGCGCCCACGGAGTCAAGTTGGTGTTGCCTTCTTTGTTAGCCGCTCTCGAGGAGGATTCGTGGAGAACCAAAGCTGGTAAGAATAGGTGCCTGCCCTTTTTAAAGAAAAATAATATTTTGGGGGGGGTGGGGGAGACGCGCTAGGTGGTAAATGCCACCTATAAAACATTTTATACAATATGTATGTCTTTATATGCATTGTCAATTTAACATTTCTATCCCAAAGCTTTTGCCATTTGTCTAATTAGAATAGGATAGGAGTAGAGTAGAATAGAATAAGGGATAGGGGTAGAATAGAGTAGAGTAGAGTAGAGTAGAATAGAATAGAATAGAATAGAATAGAATAGAATAGAATAGAATAGAGTAGAGTAGAGTAGAGTAGAGTAGAATAGAATAGAATAGAATAGAATAGAATAGAATAGAATAATAGAATAGAATTCTTTATTGGCCAAGTGTGATTGGACACACAAGGAATTTGTCTTTGGTGCATATGCTCTCACTGTACATAAAGAAAAAATAAAATACCTTCATCAACCATCATAAGACACAACACTTAGTGATAGTCATAGGTTACTAATAAGCAATCAAAACATACTAGGAAAACAAATAAAACAATATAAATTGTAAAGATACAAGCAACCGAGTTATAGTCATAAGTGGGAAGAGATAGGTACTAGGAAGGATGAGAAGAGGAATAGTAATGCAGTCTTACTAAATAGTTTGACAGTGTTATGGGAATTAGTTGTTTAGCAGTTCTATAGTATATCCAGAGGGTTTTTTTGCCCATCCTATCATGGTTGGGTCACCTTCTCGTGTTCTCATGCGCTTCCCCAGGATCGGTAGAGTTGCTGGGAGCCATGGCTTATTGTGCTCCCAAGCAGCTGTCATCTTGCTTGCCAAACATCGTGCCGAAGCTCACGGAGGTGCTGACGGATTCTCACGTGAAGGTCCAGAAGGCCGGCCAACAGGCGTTACGGCAAATCGGCTCGGTCATCAGGAACCCTGAGATTTTGGGTAAGAGGGGATTTTTTGGGGGTGCCTGTGTCAGCATGGATGGTTGATTTTTTTTTCTCTTTCCCTTGACTAATTTGTTGAACGGACTGGAGTTCCACAATCGTTTTTGTTCGTTATGCCAAATTGCTGATAAAACATTTCATTTCAGGCAATCCTCAACATATGACCACAACAGGGAGCAGAATTTCTGTGGCTAAGCGAAAGGGTTGCCGTTAAGTGAGCTTTGTCCCATTTTACAGCCTTCCTTGCCACCGTTATTAAGTGAAGCACTCGGTGGGGCTTCTCAAAATTTTTCCTTACCGTTTCAGTCTGTTCAGAGAGCTTGCTTTGGGCGCGCATGCGCAGTACTCAAACTCCGCCCTTCCCTTGTGAGCTGGTTTTTTTTTAGCTCAGCTGAGGCGCAGCAGTCTATTCTGTCATGTGAATCAGCTGAACTAATAAACAGCAGAATATAGGAGAAGTGAGAGGTAAGAGCAGAGGTGGGCGGGCGATGTTCTGACCCAAGCCTTGTTCAAATCAAAGTATGTATCAAAGCAAACCTTTTTAATGCGGCGCTGTGAATTCTGTGCATTCTCAGCCAAGAGTCATTCAAAACTAATTGTCCCAGATAAGAGCAAGCTCTTTCAAGGTTGCGAAAGGCTGCCAAGAACGAAAGACTAATCGCAGATAAATATCCAAAGCCAGAAGTTTCAAAAAACAGACCCAAGTAAGCAGGGCTTCAACGAGGACTCTGAGCAGAAAGAACTTCTTTGCTTCCTGCAAAGAAGCCAACCCCGAAGGCTGGCTTTTATCCCTTATGGAAGGGGCAATCACCTTGCAGCCTTACTCCCGAGTTCGCCTGGGCTGCTTCAGCTGCTATTTCCATCGAGCAGCCCTGCGGGCACCCGCACTGAGCACATGCTCCTCGGGGACCTCTTCATCATTGCTGCCAGACTGCCCAAGCTCCAAAAGCCCCACTCTCCGATAGTCCTGGCCCCATCCCTGCATCACATGCAGGCTCTTCATCCGAGTCCTCGCTCTCAGAGACCTCAGCCGTATGTACCTACTACCGGCGAACCACAACAGGCAGGGCCAGTCAAAATTTTCCCTACCAGTCCACGAGGACTGGTCAGAACCAGCTGAATAACCACCACTGGAAGCACTGCAGTTGCTGAGTTAGTAACATGGGTGTTAAGTGAACCCTATTGGTTCCCATTGATTTTGATTGTCAGAAAGTCGCAAAATGTGGTCACATGACACCCCTGGGACACTGCGGCTGTCATAAACATGAGCCAAAGGTGAAGCCTCTGGTCTTCTCACCATTGTGTTTCTTTGGCTTCCTTCCTTCTGCCCACGCCCTTCTCACTCAACAGCCATTGCCCCCGTGCTGCTGGACGCCTTGACTGACCCATCCCGAAAGACCCAGAAGTGCCTGCAAACGTTGCTGGACACCAAATTTGTCCACTTCATCGATGCACCTTCCTTGGCTCTCATCATGCCTATCGTCCAGCGGGCTTTTCAGGACCGCTCGACAGACACCCGGAAAATGGCTGCCCAGATCATCGGGAATATGTACTCCTTGACGGACCAGAAGGTAGGCCGGGGAGGAGGAAGTAAAGACTCCATCTGCTTCCAAGTAGGAATTTAAGACATTCCTCCAATTCACTTTTTGCCTTCTCTCTCTCTTTCCCTCCCTCCCTCTCTTCTCTCTCTCTCTCTCTCCTTTCTCCTCTCTCCTTTCTCTCTGTCTCTCTCTTCTCTCTGTCTTTCTCTCTCTCATCTCTCTCTGTCTCTCTCTCTCTCTTCTCTCCTCTCTGTCTCTCTCTTTCTGTCTCTTTCTCTCTCCTCTCTCTTCTTTTTCTCTCTCACAGGATCTGGCTCCTTACCTGCCTAGTGTCACACCTGGACTGAAAACGTCTCTTCTGGACCCCGTTCCTGAGGTCAGTTTGCCCTCCACTTCTTCATAGACCAGAGCTCCCCGTTTCCGGCTCTGCAGACCGCAAAGGGCATAATTCACGCAAGCAGCTGGCCGAGCGCGTGAGCGCATCTCCCATTTGCACGAGTGGCGTGCACGAGTTCCTGCCACTGGAACCAACAGAGCGTGCCACGAGCCCACTCACCTGCTGCTTGCTCGAATGCTCGTGCATGAGTGCCGGTCGCTGGCTGTTAAAAAACGGCCTGGTTGCAAACCCCTCATGGCCCACTAGGGGGTCGTGGCCCACAGATCGGGGACCCCTGTTGAAGGCGGTCTGCTTCTCCTCTTTACCATAGCTTTTCTCTTGACCTTCAGGTGAGGACAGTCTCTGCGAAAGCGCTGGGCGCCATGGTGAAAGGCATGGGGGAATCTTGCTTTGAAGACCTCCTGCCCTGGCTGATGGAAACCTTGACGTACGAACAGAGTTCGGTCGATCGGTCAGGGGCTGCGCAAGGTAAGGGGTGGGTGGGTGGGATTTCACAGGTGGGAGTGGGGGCAGCACACAGCTTTGTACGCAAACGCTACAGGCCCATGTTTTGTTCATGAATATTGGAGGTTGGAGGTTCTCCTTCTTTCATGAAAAGCTTGCAAGAACAAATGTAGGGCCAGGTAGATCTCGACTTGCAGCAAGTCCAATTGCAGCAAGAAAGATCGCCAAATGAGGCCAAACTCCCATAGCTCACTTAACAGAAATGTCGGGCTCAGTTGTGGTTGTAAGCCGAGGTGTCAGCGTTCCTTGCAAGAAGTAAAACGACAAATCCATCCCCTGCACCTATCATCCCATCACGTGCCCCAATCGCCATCCATCTCAACTTAATACTTCCCCTCACTTATGGGCAAAACTACATGACCTTGAATGAGAAAAAGAATGTTATTATGTCTAACTACATAAACTTCAAAAACTTCAAAAAATTCCCCCCTCCCACTTTCCCAGGCTCAAAATGTGGCAGCGTGGGAGCATCTGGTCTCAATATGGCTCCCAAAGCTGACACGAGGACTACCTCGTGTTAAAGAGCGTTCAGTAGAGAAAAAGACAAAATTGATTTGCATCGTTGCACGGTGACGGACTTTACAACTGTCATGACTGAACCAAATTGCGGGCTCAACGACAGTCACAAATGGAGGGGACTCTGTGCTAAAGCCCAAGCATTCTATTTGTTAATCTGTTGGGGATCAGGGTGCTTTTCCTGTTCGGTGAGTGGTGCGGTGGCCTAGAGGTGGTGCTCTCTCAGCACAGTGAGAATATATCTGCCGAATATAACTCCGCATTGGCCACAGGAAGGGCATCCGGCCAGTAAACACTCAGCTCCCTTCAGTTGGCCAGACTCCACCCCGATGCAAGAGATTAAAAGATGATGATGCTTTTCCCTGCTCTAGGTTTGGCTGAGGTTATGGCTGGTTTGGGAGTAGAGAAGCTGGAGAAGCTGATGCCAGAAATTGTGGCGACAGCGAGCAAAGTGGATATTGCTCCCCACGTTCGCGATGGTTACATTATGATGTTCAATTACCTGCCCATTACCTTTGGGAACAAGTTTACCCCGTACGTTGGGCCCATCATACCTTGCATCCTTAAGGTAAGGACCCCGGAACCGATCTAGAAGTACGGGAGAAAAAGATGGATTTACCTCCCCTGAAAGACATCCGCTTGAAATTGGGAATGGTTAGAGATAGTTTCCCTGGAACCAGTTTGGTCTAGTGGTTAAGGCACCAGGCTAGAGAGTGGGAGACCGTGAGTTCTAGTCCCGCATTAGACCAGGAAAGTCAGCTGCATGACTTTGGGCCAATCTCTAGGAGAATGTGAGTTATAGTTCTGCCTTAGGCATGAAAGCAAGCCATGTGACTTTGGGCCAGTCACCAGGAGACTGGGAGTTCTAGTCATGCTTTAGGCATGAAAGCAGGCTAGGTGACTTTGAGCCAATCACCAGGAGACAGGGAGATCTAGTCCCACCTTAGACATGAAAGCCGGCTGAGTGACTTTGAGCCAATCACCAAGAGACAGGGAGTTCTAGTCCCACCTTAGACATGAAAGCCGGCTGAGTGACTTTGAGCCAATCACCAGGAGACAGGGAGTTCTAGTCCCACCTTAGACATGAAAGCCGGCTGAGTGACTTTGAGCTAATCACCAGGAGATGGTGAGTTCTAGTCCTGCCTTAGGCATGAAAGCCGGCTGGGTGACTTTGGGACTGTCTCTCTCTCTCTCTCTCTCATTCTCTCTCTCTCTCTCTCTCTCTCTCTCTCTCTCTCTCTCT